TTGTTTACCTACTATCTCCTCAAAGGTTAGTCTCGTCTCGTCAATGACCCGTCGCAGATGCTTTATGGCCTTGACTGCAGCTTCCCACAGGCCCCCGAAATGGGGAGCAACCGGCGGGTTGAATCTCCATCGGATGTCATCATTTACTAATCGACTCATGATCTCATGCGTCTCTCAACCAGCCTGTCTGAACAGCTCACGAAGTTGCGAGTCAACTTTCACGAAGTTGGTGCCGCAATCGCTGTAAACGACCTCGCGCAAACCGTGATGGGAGATGAATCGACTGAAAACGCCGCAGAAAGGCGTCGGCGGTATAGTCGCTTACCACCTCGAGATACGAGTACACCAGAGTTGCAATAAATAAACACGGCCAGGAATGCCTTGTACGATTTGTGACCACGTTCCTTCGTCATTCTGAGGAAGATTGGCCTGGTAAAGTCCACTCCAGTGTGCAGGAAGGGGTCACCCTGTTTGCTAGTAAGTTACCCATCAAAGGCTGCGAGATCGCCGCCCGCCATCGCGCACATGGTAGACATCGGTGGATGACATGTTTCACATGCTGATGTCTAGGGGGAATCCAAAGCCCTCGTCGGATGGATGTCAAGAGCAAATGCGTTCTTCCATAGAGAGTCCGACGATAATAAGCATCGATGAGCAGGTTAGTAAGATGTGAGTCTTTTGGAAGCAGCACCGGATATCGCTGATTCGGACTCAGCACAGAATTTTTTATTCGTCCTTCAACGCGCAGGAATCATCAGGCGTCGATGAACGGGCGGCAGAGTAGCTACGATCAGGCATGGGTTTTTCTGCGGTTATAGCATCTACAGTCGGAAGGCAAGATCCTGAGTGACAAAGATCCAGTGATCTTGTGCGTCGTTGATCTCCGCGGCCGAAAGAGGGCCGGACATTTGTTGACCGTCATTTTTCCTAGGTCTCGATAGGCGAGCACGCCAGCGCAGCATCCACGTTGTCACGCGAAGCAATCGTTGGAAGGAGGAGAAGCGTTCAAGTTCTTCTTCGGTTCGCGAAACGCTTCCACAACCAGACATCTACGAGGTCGGAGCTCACAGGTGTCCACGGGCCATCCATCTACGTTTGTCAACAGGAATAGAAGTCCTTGCCACCACAGCGAATGTTTCAGGAACTCTCTCGGAGACAACCCCCGAGAGACGCAGTCTGCCGGATTGTCACATCCTGGGACGTGACGACACTGAGATCCTGGCAGAACTTCTTGGACCTCCGCCTCGGTTGGCCACGAAGGTAGTTCATCTGATCGGGTGTCTGCGTATCTAGCTCAGGACCACGATTGAGTTCGTCCACAGTGTGCAGGTACGGAGTCCAAGGCCAAGGTCGTAACAAGAGTCGTAAGTCAGTAGGGTAGTTGCGCAGAGTTCCAGTCTGGGCAGCGAGACCTGCTTTAGCGAAGCAACCTTGGTTTTCGCCCAGTGAGATGTAGAGCTTACCCGCCATCACAGCACGTAGGTAGATTACAGCGGCATAGGCTTGTTCAGATGCGTTGGAAAAGCGTTCAGATGCCGTGGATTTCCAGGCAGCAATCGGGCTTGTCGAAGTGGAACCAATGTGGCGAATCTTCTCTAAGGTTGGAAGTTCCTTCTACAGTTGTTGTCAAGCTTCAAGATCAATTGGGGCGTCCCAGTCAAGCTGTTGCAGCCAGGTGGTTTGGATGAGGAGCTTGGCTCTTATGACGATTGGCGCCAGCCAGCCAAAGGGGTCGAAGAGGCGAGCCGTGCCGGACAGGATCGTGCGTTTGATAAGCCGAAGAGTAAGCGGTTTGCTTATCGAGAACATGAAGAGGTCATTCATAGAATCGCAGCGAAGTCCCAGGATCGAGTGGCTCTCAGAAGGCAGCAGAGCGTCATCACTGCGTCGAAGGCAATGCTCACTTGGAATGTCCATTAGTAGCGCGGAGTCATTGCTGGTCCACTTCCGGAGAAGAAACCCGCTCGCCATATATAGATACGTCAGTTGATTTTGCAAAAGCCGCGCCGCGTCAGCCGTGGAAGCGCCAGACATCGTTCGCCAGGATGTCGTTCATATCATATGTGGTAGGTGTCGTGTCGCAGGGCTTCGGCGCCAAGTGGAGCGTGAGTGCCTTCGTCATCGGCGAGCTAGGCGGGCTATTCTTCGAATGGCCAGGTAGGATGCGCTAGCCAGTCCATCCGTAACTGTATTTAGCTGGAACTCTCTTACAGTGACGTTTGTCTTTCACAGGATCCTTTGGAGGTCTCGGTCGTCCGGGTGTATCAGGATTT